TCTATGCTCCATTGATCATCTAATTCAAAAGTACTCCCCTTACATGCCACCGCGTGATCAATGGTAGCAAGAGGGTGATAGCGAATTACCCGAGATTGTAATGCATTTATCCTGGTGTTTATCATTTGACGTACACATGTTAATACACAGGGAATCATACACAATACGCATGTTATTATACATCCAACTACTGACAAGCTTATCAGTGCTTTTCGTACATCCCACCGCGTGGTCTGTGGTTGGACCATGACACCGGCGAATGACTCGAACAGCGTATTGATGAAGTGTCATCTTTGGAGTCAACAGTACTTGAGATAATCCTTTCCTGGTTGGCAGACCTAGTCTCCAAGTTTGGAGAGGTGAACAGGTGTGTCCAATCATATGGGCCCAGACAACGCGATGAATCTTGGGAATTTCTGCAAAATATAAAGTCTAGTACAACAGAAATTCTCATTTCAGAATTTTATAATTTGGATTCATCTTTTATAGTATGAAGTGGTTGACTGCCAGCCACACATTTATAGGCCTGTTAGGAGCCATCACAGGCAATGTATATCTGGAGTTTGATGCAACACCAGACAACATCCTGGTCTCACTAACCGCTCCCACAGAAAGCTTACACTCTCTGTATAGATTCTAGGCCTCATCTTGAGCAAACCGTCCTGCCCCAGTTTACCCCTGACTGCAGTCAATCCCCCTCCACCTCATGGAGTGATAGTACAGGTTATCTCTTGCCTCCATGCTATAAAAGAATTTTATCCATCTTCACATTAACTAATCATTGAGTGTGAAATCATTTCTGCACTTAACTAGAATGTTACCAGTTCATCATAAGAAAATTGTAAGCATGATGCGAGTCAGAGCCCATAGGGAGGTCCACAAACATCAGTCCTTCATTTGCAGTCTTGCCAACCAGTTTTTCAGCATAAGACTTTTCTTCTGCGAGGCCCAGCACCTCACACATGGTTATTTCACAATCACATATATTCTTGGGTAGACTCGTAAGCCAAAGGTTTCTGTCATTTGTTGATTCCAAATAATTCTTGCCACCTGCTGTAACACTACTGGGACAAAACACATATAAATATGAGCACTGCAAAACAATTAGTGTCTGATTTAGAATTCCCAAACCACACCATTCTGCTTGATCTTTCTAAACATCACTGGTGTGACATGAACAGCACAGAAACGGATCGTTCTATACAATGATGACCATTAGGCCTCAGGATGTTACAAGTTCTATAGTTTTCCATTGTTTTCTTTTCCCCCTTAGTGCCACGTCTGCCCCATCCCAGGAGACAAAACCAAGCACAATTGCAGACACTCTGTACACGGCATCACATATGTCCTTCACATCCTGAAGCCAGAGCTTAGCTCTAGCCTTTATCTTTAACACTGCTGCAAGAATAACTTGGCAGCACACAGTTCAGGAATAATGTTTCAGTTCTGATTGTTGCTTACCAGTAATACAAAACAAAGCATACAGATTGTTGGTGCAACTCATCTAAGAAATATAGACCTTCTTATCTCTGGAATAGTAGATCCAGGGATCCACTGGGACATGAGACCTGCTATGCGGAAAAGAATAATCAATCCATTTTGTTATCCAAGATACATGACCTGCACTGAATAGGCTAATGCAGGAGGAGTTATGGCTGTGGTAGCTGTATCCTCCCAGCCCCTGGCCAGGTTCACTGAGAAGCACAAATGACAAATAAGGATCACCTGAAAGGCATTATTTATTACACAAATCACAACAACAGGTGTGGACAAGACACACGAGAGACAGGTACACGATAACTGAGTCATTACACCAGTTAGTAAAAGTTAGTAGACACAATGAATTATATTTAGGATACGTTTTTCTTCCATGTGATATTCAGGCTGGTCTTGTGCTGCTCAGCATTCACTGATCTCTGTCCAGAATTCTTGTTGCTCATGATAAGGTTTCATCAAACATGCTGGAAGCCAGCAGGGTCCTGTGGAAGACAAAACACAAACAAACCCCCCTTCCCAATACTAACAACTTAATATCTACTTGAGGTGTCATATTGCCCCTCTTCGTTACAAAAGCGTAATTCTATCAAGTTAAGGTTAGGTTCTGTGGGTGGGAGGCCTGGAAGGTCACCAAGTTGCTGCAACCTCTCTATGATCTCTTCTATGGGTGCCCCTATGTGAGACACTAACAGTGGAATAATGTATGGTTTCCAGGGTACAGGATAGCCTTCTAACAGTTTGTTTCGCATTACTGGAATTAAAGGCTGTTGCATGTAAAGTTCAGGGCTCTGCAATTCAATAGTTACTTTCATCCCTTCCCCCTTTAATATTTTAATTGCTTGATACAGAGATACCCAAGATGAACTCCCATCCTGCCATGATCCATCATTAGTAAAACGGTCACTAAGGCCTTCAGCAATAACTGAAACCAAAGTTCTATCAACTCCTGGTGTTCGCCTTAAACGCCAAAGAGCATTTTGCACATATACATCATTGGTTAACCCTAAAAACTTTGTGGCATCAACATCGTCTACTATCATAGAGTCAGCCCCTTGCTCCATTAATCTAACCATCCACATTTGTGGTCGTTCCCCAGGTTGCTGAGAATATTTAGATAAAAGATTTTTAATATCCTCTGGGGTAAAATCAGCAACTTCATCCTGCCTTACTCGGTTACCCTGGTTATCTATCACAACCTTCCACCGTACAACAGGGGCTGCCCTTACTTTATGTGCCAACTCATCTGCTGTTGATAACTTCTCTGAATTTTCTATAAAATCGTCCTCATCAGAATCATCACTACTACTCCATATGTTACCATCCCACTTCTCTGGGTCCCAATCAGGGGAAGTGACTATAGCCCGCACTCGTGGCCCCCGATCACTTCGGTCTATTTTCCTTTGTCTGTGTCGAACAGTTCTCACAGCATATTTCTCAGCTAAAGTAACACATTTATCTTCTACCCTGTTCTTTTCAGCCTGAAGGTCAAGTAAAGTCTGGCGTTGTACCAACTGAGTGGCTCTTACAGCATTCAGCTGCTCCTGCAGTTTTTTGCATTTTTCCACAGTTAACTTATATGCAGTAAGCAGTGCACCCCCCATTCGCCCGGCATGTTCCAGACGAGTGCTTGATTTAATAGTAGGGGTAAACTGCTCCCAGTATTGCAATACCTCCATCGGGGTCTGCTGTCCCCAATACTCAAGAGGAATCTTTGTACATGTTTCCCACTTACTCCACAAAGTAATCCATGGCTCCTGCCCCAATTCTATTAATTCACGGGGAGGAGCTTTCTCGGGTTCACTGCCGTCTGCAGCTGACCCTCCTAACCACTTCTTCATCTTAATCTGCTAAATGTTCTCACTAACAAAAACAACAACAAAGGTTCTCAATTTCAAGCTAAACACAATGAGACACACTAATCCACAAACAAGCCTAACTACACATATACATCAACTCTAAAATCTGTATATACCAACCACAGAATACACACTCTACAATAACTCTGAATGAATTCTCAGAAAGACATATCTGTGAGTGAAACAACAATAAAACTTAATCCACTGAGTATCTTCTAAGCTTTGGTTTGCTCCACACCGAATACAAAAAAAAGTTTAAAGTCCAATCTAGCCTTATCTCCTGGATGCCTCTAGGTCCCAAGATATATTTATTACAATTAGTACAATGAAGTCGTACATATAAAGGAATTCTAGGTCTCAAGACGTGTGATATATTCACAATTGATTGCTCAGAACTACCTCCCATATGCAAAAAACAAACAAAGCATATAAAACACAAGTACTGTCACCCATATAGTAACTTAAACAATAAAAACAACAAAGAACCGGTTCAAAACAGACCAAAACGAGCAGAAGACATGAAACACAGACACTGGGACTCCTGGTGCCCACATAGAGTTCACCACCCACACAGGGACGCGGCTTCACAGGCTATGCTCTCCACCTGAGAATCTCCCTTTTCACACGGGGACGCGGCTCTACAGGCTGTGCACTCCACCTGGAGATCTCCCCTCCACGCATTCAGGGACACGGCTTCGTTGGCTGAGCACTCCACCAACGAATTTCCCTATACAACACTGTTTATTCCGCCATGTATCCTGCCGACTACGCCAATTTATGTAACAGTTCGTTAGGATACATGCCCGGAATAAAACAAGTGCACAG